GGGGATGGTGAAATCATATAAGTTTAACGCCCCTATAAACATTGTTAGGTTATGTATGAGGCGGGACCTCCTAGTTTAACGTCCATCTCCGAAAGGACCGAGCCAAATATGCAATTTGTGTAAAGTGCCTTTCCCAAAGAACACAGCGTCGGACCGAGGTGAGGCTCGAACCCCCGAACACGCAAGCTCACGATTACGGGTCCGGTAGCCTAATCACTAGGCCACCGACGCCTTTAATGCAGGGTGAGAAAGAAAATGATGATGATGATGATGATGGCGAGGAGGAGGAGGAGGAGGAGGAGGAGGGACGCCTTTCAACCACGAATATCACTGGGGATACAGCCATTAGAGTAAGTCCTAACTAGAATGTGCTGTATAAAGTTAATACTATTGAGTATCAAGGTTTTTATAAATGTCTGTCCGTCCTTTTAACATGATGATGATATGACTGTATGTAGTTGCGAGCGCCGTAAAACTCTTACTAAAACATAACGTGATGATAGATTTGTTACAATAAAACTTGTTGGCACTTACATGACCAAAATTGAGTCGATAGTGCTGTAAAGCACCTACTCAATCAATCAGTCAAACCGTCGAGTATCAAGTATCTTACCTGAGGTATCATAATATCTCTTCCTCACACTCTCGCCCTTGGGCTTCCCCCTGTGCGTTTTGTTCCCGCGACTGTCCGACTTTCTCTCATTCCCGTCGTCGTCCTTCTCTCTCTCATCATCTCTCCTCGCCAACCTGTTATCACCGTTATGATCTCTGGCAGCAGCATTACTATAGTCGTTATTGTTATCACCACCACGTCCTTTGCTGGTGTCGTTGTAACCGTTGTTGTATTCTCTACGATTTCGATCGTCGTTGTCGTCATCGCGATAGCTGTGGTGGGTGTTGTTGTTGTTGCTGCTGCTGTTGTTGTTGATGTTGTGGTTATTGAAGTAGTTGTTGCTGTGGCTGGTAGTGTTGTTGCCGCTGTCGTAGTTTCCTTTAGTGATGCGGTCGTGGCTGTCAAGGGCTTCTTGTAAGCCGTGAACGCTGAGGCTCGTTCTGCGATAGGTGTACGGGTCCGCCATTTTGAATCCCTGTGAGAGAGGGTGGTTGGAGGCTGTCACTGGTAGGTCAGGTCAGGTCCTACTCTTTTATTTTTTTCGCTCTGTTGTTTCTGTCTGTCTTCCTTTTGTAGCAGCACGTGGGTAGTTGGAGGGTGTCACTGATAGGTCCAACTTCTTTTCTCTCCTTGTGATGCTTCTATCTGTCTTACCTTTTTCCTCAGCACTAAATATCCATCGTTGTGTCGATGTGCTTCCTTTCACTCAAACACATTTTTCAGCTTTAAATGACCATTACCATGTCGATATGCTTCTCTTTGCTAAAAAAACCCAAACCCAACAACAATCAAATTTCCCAACGCTAAATGATCATTAGGCCAATAGAGTTGACACGCTTCTCTTGACTCTAACAAACAAACGCACAAAGAATCCGTGTGAAAGTAGCCAGTATACACCACAGCACACGACACACGCGTCCCCAAGGGAGACGGAATAGCGACGTCCTCTTCTTCTCTTCCTCTGTATCTCAGACACCGCGCCAATCACACACGACACCACGACAGCATAGCACTCTCTGCTGGCGACACCCGAGGGGAGAGAGAGAGAG